CCATGAGCAGGGCCAGGCCCAGCTCCATCCCCAGCAACTCATGCAGAGCCCAGGGAGCCCCTGTCTGATAGCAGTAAGGAGAAATCTAGCAGCATATGGAGCTCCCCTTGGGCTTTGCAGCTGCACACTGGCACCCATTGTATTTTTTCAAGACTGTGTTGTTTACTTTTTGGTGACAGGTGTAGCTCCTGTTCTCTGCTTCACAGGCAAAGATTCTTCTGTAAAGATGCACTCAGAGCTCCCAGGGATTGCCATCCTTCAGATGTGCATTCGAGTATTGCTGAGCTGCTGATTTGAATGTAAAGGCATGACAGGAAATGGGTTTTGTATTAATGGAAATGTAATTATGTGTGTTTAGTAAACTAGTAGAAGTAATTCTGGAACACAAAACAAAGCAAGATTTGAATACTTATTAACCAAAAACAATGGTGGTTGCTGCACACCTTGCAGTAAACACCTGTCTCCTATGGGATGGGCTGTAGGTGTTGTCACACTTGCCCAGAAGCAGCAGATGACCGTCTTGTGGGCACAGCATCGCAGGCTTTGGCCGACGTGGCCTTGAATTCTCTGCTATATGAAAATCCTCTAAGTTGCAGGATGAAGGACTGGACCAAGTCTGCGCAGGTAGTGCTGTCCCAGCTATCCTGGAGATAGGATCTCTGCGTTCCTTTGAAGTTGTTTGTGGAAGGCCATGATAACGTGGAGATTTCTTGGGCTCTTTCCCTCTGTGCAGCAGCTCCTGCTGGAGTCAGAGGCCAAAGAGCCATGCTGTGTGTATGTGAGAGGGAAATGCTGCTATAGAACTCTGTGGACATGCAGAGGACGGTGGGTGGCAAATGGTCTTGTGCAGGGACACACGGGGTTGGGACTGAGATATCAGCTGCTGCACTGTAACTGTGAGTGGGAAACAGCTTTGAGTGGGAAAACCCAAAGGTAGGTGTGCACTGTTCTGGTGGTGTGAGCTACCAGCTTCCGTCAGCTGGAGAAAAGGAAGGCGTAGAATCCCAGAACTGAAATGGTTTTGCTGCTTTCACTGTTCAGCTGAGCTAACTGCAACCTCTGGCCATCTTGTCTGCAGTGTGCATCAAGTTAAGGCTGTGTGAGTTGGGAAGTGCATGTTCCAGTGCTTTTAACATCAGTCATCTGTGTGGAGGAGGTCTACAGTATGTATGCTTTAACAAGCACACACCTGGAGGAACACCTTCAGCTAGATTTTGTTGTGTTTGCCAGAGGCATGTAATGTTAAGCTGATGATTTTTGCAAGATGGAGTTCTGAATGACTTTGAATTCTTTTGGCCAAGTCAACTTGGTTGCTGGGGGAGTAGAGCTGTAAGAGAAGATGGGCTTATGTTCTTATCCTAAGCAAGGAATATTTCTCTAGTTCTCCTAAACCGTGGAGTATGAATTGAAAAAATCCAAATCTGCTTCCTCATTTTGATGCAGTCTCCATTTTTGGCAATGCAAGAGATGCAGGACACCAAAATGCCACTCGGGCTGTCTGCTGCCTCCCCAGCCACCACAGCCAGCAGCTCTCAGCTCCCAGTTGCTTTCAGCAACTCTGCATGTGAGCTCTGGAAATGGCTTTGCAGACGTTACAATGTAGGGTCCAGAACCATCAGGCTGGCAGTGACAAGTTGTTGTTTCCCAGCAGCTTTGGAGGACAGGGTATACTTGAAATAAATCCATCAAGTAGGGTTTCACATTGGTCAGGGCTTTAAGCAGCAGTTTACTGAGCTTATTTATGATGTCGCACCCAGGAAATGAAATGGAGAAATGTCAAATGCTTTCAACAAACGCCAGCACAATTTAATGCCCCCTCTGCCTTGCTTGGATTTGTGCCTAATGCTTATTATTGCAATAAACCGCATTCGCATTCTAGGTGGTAAATGGAATTCACCCAATAATTAAAGCTACGAATAAAATACATTTATTCATCATCTTCATTCCCAGCATAGTTTGCATTCTTAGTGCTAGATATGGTACAAAAATGTGCACCTTGGGCATTTTAGCTGTTCGTGGCGTAAGGACCAAACCTGTCTGTGAGAGCCTTGGGAATCTTAAGCTGAAGGAAAACCACACAAAAGCTCGAGCCAAGCAGTTCTCTTACAGGATGTTTCCAGTCTCTTCCTCTGCGTTTGGGCCCTGGCCTGGTCTGAAGCACATCTTTTCAGACTGCCTATTGTTTCCATTATATGGAGACAGCCTCGAGTTCCTCTGTTGAGTAACCATCAGTCTGCCCTCCTACGCAGACACCTGAAGATGAGTTAATGTTGAAAAGAAAACATTTAATTGATTCTCAAGCCTCAAATGTGTCTTTCTGCAGTCCTGAAAGTTTCCAGGGTTTTTTTTTGTTGTTGTTAATAGGATGGATACATTCTTAGGAATGAAACTTGCTTATAATGTTAAAATGACAGCGTTCACTTTGGTAGGGTTGTTTTGTATTTGTGGAAAGGGTGTTACGACAGAACCAGAGGGGTTGGAAGGGATCATCGAGTCCAACCCCCCGAATTCTCAGTGCCTCTGCTGTGACACATGCACTGAACGTGGGTCACTTTGACGCACACAGATGAATGGTGGTTGGATTCAGTCCTGAGGGCTGGGGACCCTTCTGCCAACCTGGGGCACAGACAAGTGACATGGGAGCTGTGGTCTGGTTTGCAAATCATGTCTCTTTGTGCAGTCCAGCTGAATAAAGCCTTTGTAAGCAGTCCCGTAATGAAGTGCAAGTGGCACAATTGAGCACAGCAGTTTCTTTTCAGAGAAGTGCTTCCTAATATTAGGATAAACTTGTGCAAAATAGAAAAATTGAAGACAATTCTGAAATAAATCCTGAAATGCAGCTACAGGGATCTTGGATTAAAAACCTCTTGCGTGCTGTTTTATGAACAAACAACTTCATCCATGATAGATTGTGTGCCCCAAGCGTACAAAACAAGGCAATTAAGAGAAAGCACAGTCAATGAAATAATATTGTTATCTTTTTGTTTCACATAAGTACTGTATCTCCTTTCCACTGTCAGTTTGCTGTAAATTGCACCTTGTCATTAATAGGATTATCGATAACTCTGCCAAGCAGAGCTTCTGCACAATTTACTGTTTACTGAAATGCCTCTCTCATCATTAAAAAGTGTTACTAATATGCTTTAAATGTAAATCTTTTACAGTACTGATGCTCGAGGTCGCAGCCAGCAGCAAGTAAAGCTCTATAGACTGCTGAAGCTGGAAAGCAGGGATGCTCACCTGCTGCGAGCAAGTCTGTGAACTCTTATAAGTGAATTTGTTCTTCCCTCTAGGCAGATTGAGGGATGCATTCCCCCCAGATAAATCAGCGTGAGCATCTGATTGTGGCTAATCAGCAAACTCATATTTACACAGTGAAGGTAGGCAACCAGCAAGGTGGTCAGCAGTGTGGGGCTGACGTGTCACGTGCTGACCTTCACCTTGGATCCAGGAGGGACAACTGCAGGGTATGGGCATGTTTGGGGCTAAAAGAGACTGAACTGGGGCTATAACTTTGTTCAATACTGCTTTTTCCTGAAGTTTGGGTTCAGTTTCTGCCAGCTGCTTCCCAGCCTTTTGCTGTCCCCCCCCATGCCACGTGTTATCCTAGTATCTACAGTATGGTTGTACAGAGTGAGGGATGAGTAGTGCTCTATGTCTTCCTTTCCCTTTGATGGCTTCTCAAATCCTCCCGTGCATCCCTTCACGTTGTGGTCCTGGAGGAGCTGAGTCAGATCCCAGGATTGAGAGTGGAGGTGCCATTCAGACATCATTCCTGTTTAATTTGGTGGAACCATGCTGCGGTGTTTATCGTGCCAAGTGTGTGATTGTTGATGGGGCTGAAAGCTGCAGGGTGGCCTGAAGGAATGGAAACAGGTGTTTCTTTCATCTTTGCCAAGATCACCCATCACTGCTTTTTCAATCTTGCATCCAGCCTGAATCCAGATCGGTGCCTGGAGCATCAGCTCTGCTCCTTGGGTGCCCAATCTCTGCATAATATCCCCTAGTGCTCAGTCCAGCTCAGACTTCAGTAACGCAAAGGGATTTAATTGTATCTGGGAGACATGATTTATTTGTGTTTGATGGAGCCCTGCGGTAGCAGTCTGGAGTTGGATCAAGGCATGAGCAGCCTCACACCGGTGCCATCCTGACGTTTCAGCACAGCGGCTGAATTCAGGCCAACTAAGGACAGTGCAATTCTGCAGGATTTCCCTTAGCACTGTGGTGACGTGCAGGTGGCTTTGAAGCCTGGGACCCACACGGGCTCAGAGCAGTGACCGCTTCATGTTCTTGCAGCCCTTTCTCTGCTCGTGTAAAGCAGAGATTTGGAGCAGCCTGCCCAGTCATTTAAGATGATCGCTCTCTCTAAGCAGCAGTTTGTCAGGCTGCAATTTTAAAATTACATTGTGCTCTGCTAGGACTTGGCAGAACTTTCCCTAGGCCTGAACTTTTAAAATAGTAGCCCAAAAAGGCACAATTAAAAACACCAGGAAGAAGGAGGAGCGATTTGAAGCAGTTTGAGCGTTTTGAAGAGAATGCCCTGTGCTTCTGAGGCTGTATTCCCATGCTGAGTCACATCCAAGGTTCATCCGGAGGATCTGGGCTGCTGTTTAGGAGGTCGATGTTTGTTGACTGCTTTAGAGGCTTTTAAAGACATCGCCAGTGCACAGCAGCAGCGTCTTGCAGAGCAGGGTTAGAGGCATGCCTTAGGAGAAATCGATTTGGAAGGTAGGCACTGCCTCTCTCCTGCTTTAATTTTCCTCCCCGTGGTTTCACTGTGCTGCTGTGATTACAGCACGCTGGGCTGGGGTTACCACCTTCTGCTGGGTGACAAGGACAAATATTTTTTGCCTTCAGAGCGACTGAAGGTTTCTCTATTGTATGCCGCTGCTGTCTGGGGAGTGTGTAACTTCATGTCACCTGTGACAAATACGGCATTAGAAATAAGCCTGCTATGGGTTAAGAGCCTCTATCTTGAGGTTACGTGGCTGTTATGCTACTAAATGTCATTTTAACTTACAGAGTCTGTCTCCAGCCTTATTGCTCAGTGCTTCAGTTTGTGAGTGCCCGGTTTTGTTCCTGCTACTCTCGGAGCGCATAACTCAGCGTGAGTAAAGACGCCCATTTGAAATCATAATGTACAGCTGCATCAAGCCCCATTAGTTAAGGATTGGCTTGGTTACAAATGAGGGCAAAATGCATGCTCCATTACTGCATCTGTCTCTTCTCTGTGTGTGTTTAATTTTCTGAACAAAGGGTGGGGAATTAAGAGACACCTCTTTGATACATTTGCAGCCGTTTTGAGCCAGTACAGATCTGGGAGAGCAATTGTATTTTAATCAGCTCTGTGAGTCATCACAAAAAACGCCAGCTCAGGTTTGATTGCCGAGTTTGCATTGTTGCTGATGTGCAAGACATGAAGTGGAAGGAGCACAACTTGGTATTCAGCTGCAAGACTGAACTCAAGATGCTGACAATTTGAAAAAGCTTGGTTTTGACCTGTGTGCCAAACAGATTTTACTGTCGGAAGAACAAGTTTGTCACACCATGACGTCATTTTCATAGAGGCACTTTACAGACAGTGCCCACAGCTCAGCAGAAGGTTTGGGTTGAATACAAAGACCTCTTCAGGGTTCTTCTATGTCTCCTGGCTGGAAGAAAGCCAGTACAAATGTGAGAGTGAGATGCGTGCAGAGATAGCAAAACTGCTCATCGGATAAAATACTTGCAAACCAAAAGTGTCATTGGACTGCCTAGAAAAGGAGAAAATTCTCAAAACTTTGCAAATGCAATGGCAAGAAATATTCTAGAGAGGATGGAGACGTGGTGCTGGGAGCCCTGTTCTTGTGGGAGGGTCATTTGGGAATTGCTGTAGGAGTGGGCATTGAATAACGAATGAGTTCCAGAGTAACTTTCCAACCCCAGCTTCTGCTGGCTTGTGTGTGTCAATGGAGTGGAGTGAAGAACAGTTGTAATGTAAAAAGGGACGTTTTAAAAGTGGCGAATTTGGGAACTTCTGAATTGAGTTCCTGCTGAGAAGTGACTCAGATACGGGCTACTGTCCTGTAACATGGTGGTGAATTGGCACCATGGCTATGAGGAAGACTTTTCCCCCCTGAGTAATTGTGTGGTAGCCATCTAAATATTCAGTATGTTAATAAAAATTATAAACAAGAAAGCAATCATGTATTTGTGCGTGATGGGCACATGTTAAAAATGCCCTGACAGTAATGAAGGGTGTTGGTCATTTGCACAGTAAAAGAGCCATAATGGGATAAATAACTTAATTTCCCACACATTTCTGGATTTGGCCAACACGAAAGATTTCACTGAAATGATCACAAAACAGATTGAGATAATCTTGGCCAATATCCTGCTTTTTGACAAAACATTCTAATAATAAAATCCTGTGTTTGAGCACTTAGCCCAGTGAAAGGCTTTCAGTAATCCTTCCTTTTCATACGTTTAATAGTGTGTCGTGACACTGCCAGCCAGTCCGGAGCAGGAAGAGAAGGGGAGTTCTGTGCTGGACTTGGCAGGGAGGTCAGGGCACAGAGCTGGCCTACATGTGGTGGTACTTATGTAAACCAGCTGGGAATGGAGGGGAATTAGAGCCATAGCGTGAAGATGGGATCTTCAGATAGCTTCACTTAGAAAACAATCTTTAATCTGTTATAAAACTCATTGGAGAACTGAAACAGCTGAAGCTCTGTCTAAAGCTGAATCCAGTCCTGATGTAGTATAGCTTGATGCTTGTGAGCAGTCTCCAAATTCTAGGTTGTTTTAAAGCCCAAGTATTTCATTTTCATGGAGATTTCAAGCATGGATCCTTGAAATCCATTAAAAAAAATTATTAAAAAAGTAGAGAAAATCACCCGGCTTATTTCCCTGAGTCCCAGGCGTATCTGCTGAAAGCAGTGTAAATTTCATAAGTGATTTCACTGTGCAGGCTGCCCCAAACAGGCATATTGATGTTATTTAGCCTCAGTTGCCAAGCTGAATGCTAGGACTGTGTTTTCACATGCAAAGAAGCTATCAGCTTTACAGATAGCCATATTTCCATAAGCTGCATTTGGCTGTCACACCTTTTCCTGTAGTCTCTTGATATGCAAACAAGTCTCAGGTTGTATATATGCTCCTGGCCTAGAAGCTAATATCCCTGAAGAGTTCCTGATTATCTTTCCATTAACTCTTACCCTCCCCCACATCCCTCAGGAAGGTAACAAGCAAGCTTTCCTTCATTATGGGTTTCCAGCTGGTTACTTCCCTAGTTCTATCCTAAATGGATTCTCTTGGTGTTGCGTCTTACCAAAGAAATACCAACTGCAATTTCAGTGCTGTCTGAAAGTACATCAGGGAAAGGTGAAATGGACTTCAAGAATTTGAAGTGTGGGGAAAGCACCCTGGATCTTAAGATACTGCATCAAGGAACTCAGTAACCGCATGCTCTGTCCAAAGCATAATCATAGCATCACCAAGGTTGGGAGAGGCCTCAAGATCGTCCAGTCCAACCATCAACAGTGTCACAGTACACCACGAGAAGGTGCACTGCTGCTTGTATATGGCATTTCATCTCCTTGGTTGTACTGACAAAAGCTTGCTGAACTTATCTGACTGCCATTCTTACATTTTCTCATCTAGTTCGTGTTGTTTACAAACCAACGCTCAAACCCAAGGCTTCATTGCCTTGAATGCAGCACTTCATTACATCTGTCACTTCCAGTCTCTTTTCCTTATGGAGTTCAGATGACTTCTTAATCAGCCTGCCATATGCTGTGTCCATCCTGTCTGCAGTCAGCAATGAAATCACCTGTCCCGTGTCCATCCTTCTGCAAATTCCTGCCACAGCTGATGTTTGTGTGAGTGCAACCCGTGCTGTATTCCAACTTTTGGATCCATGTGGTGTATTTGGCAGGGAAGCAGAGAAGATCCAGCCATGGAAGTTGTGGACATGCTGCTACCATCTTGATCACTGGTCTGTAATTATTGTTTAAATTCTAAGTAGTACAGAATAGCTTTTGAGACCTGTCTTGTTTGTTTTACGTCCACTTAACAACATGCTGTATGTTTCTTCTGGTTACTGCCTTAAACTGATCGTAAACCTGTGCTTGCAAATTCCTATCAATATTCATTGTTTGAAACAGGCTGCTGGCTCAGCTCCTTTAGAATTATTCAAATTGAAGTGATTATATAGCTGGATAAACATTTCAAGACAAGCAGCACACTCCTGGTTTTGGTATTAGCGCTCCTGGAAAATTTGCAAACACCAGAAGCTGAATTTTTAAAGGCAAAAGCCCATGTTGGTACTGCCAACATTTACATGAGCAATTGGCTTTATTTGGGGAGCGGGGGCTGACTGCCCTTATCCACAGGCAGCAGAAGCATACTTTCTGAGTGGTCAGACTGATTTGAAGTTCTTGATGCCTTTTGTGACCACTGAACAGAAATCAGGTGGCTTGAATTTGGCTCCTGCTATGTGTCAGTGCCTGACCTAATCTGAGCCTGTGATTCATGCAATTTCCCATGCAGGTGTGGGAAGACGAGGGTTTTTTCAATTGCGTGTATAAATCTCTGTGCTCAAGAGATTACAGGTGACATTAGACTCTTCCTTTTGCAAATCTGACGTATATTTGCATATCTGTATATGCATAATTTTTTACCAGAAATTCCCCTGCAGTGTTTAAAGTCCTGTTGTGAATGTCTCTGTCTGTGCAGGTCTGGAGTCTTAGAAGATTAAGTAAGGGTGAGACATTTAGCCAAAGGGTAACAACTCTGGTGTTCTTTCAAATGTTATATCAAGTGGTTTGTCATATTATTAAAATAGCACGATTTCGTAACAATTGTGGTTGCTGCTTTAAAAAACATCCTGTTGCTCAAGAGAGATGCTGAGTGAACAAATGAGTACAGGTTTTTATGTCAGACCCTGTCCATAGACGAATGCAGGGGCTTTCCCCATGTTTGTACAGCATGTTTTGGCTCTGGTCTGGAGGGGTGTTTGCCTACCATGCATGTGGTCTATAAGCTAAGCAAGCTGTTCCCACAGCCTTGGAAAGTGAGGGGGAGAAAAAGCGTGGTGTTTGGGGCTCCTCAAAGTGCTGGAGTAATGAGTTAAATCAGCTGTGTCTTTTCTGTGGGTCATATATCTTAGTGATCTACAGGATTTGCGCCCTTGACACAGTCTTTAGAGGAGAACTTCCAAAAAGTATGGAATGAATGTAGATTATGTGGGAAATTACCAGCTGGTTTGCTCACACAGCTCGAGTCAGCACAGTCTCCCACTGTTAACTGAACGTGTCCTTTATAGAAATTGGCTTTGTAACCCACATTTCAACTGCTAAGGAGTTATGAGGTCAGTAAGTGCAGTTCAGATTTTAGCTCATTTTGTGTATGTCTTGGACTGTACTCACCCCTGGGCTTCATACCACCAAAATCGATGAAAGGATGCCAAGAAAAAATCCATCCCCTTATAAGTAGTCTCCTGTGCACACGTGTATTTCACCAAGCTACCCAGCCCAGCTCTACCAGGGTTTCTGCTTGCTGGCTCCTGCAGGCTGTAATTTTTAGATGGGCACTGAGAATAATGAACTGTGGCAAATCTTGGATGGACTTTAAATCCTGTGCTGTAGGGGAAGACCTTGTTCTAGCTACGAAAGAGCAAACCGTTGTATCTCAGCCCCCTGCAGCGCTATTACTCCTTTCATGCAATGTGTCTGCTGCTGGTCCATGGGAGAGGTGAGCTGGGATGGGGCAGCTCAGTGCAGGCAGTTCCCTGCTTCCTCCAAAGAGGCAGATCGCCAATCCAAAGCTGGCGTCACGTAACTGGGGCTCTGATGGAGACAAAGAACTGATGTCTGCAGTCCCTTTTAATGACAGACTTTTAGCAGCGACCACAGAAGTGTCTTGCAGAGTTAATTTCTGCTAATGAGCAGTTAGCCAGCTCAGCAGCTGACTGCTCCTATCCCTTTGCTTGGGTGGTCGGGGCTGAGCACAGCACTTCCCAAGGCATGGGAGCACCCTCACTTGAGGTGTGTGGGTTAAAGCTAAAATGCCCTTTCTCTGAAGCTGAGGGGTTTATTTTCCGGCTACAGTCTTGCTGTGTTATCCTAA